GAAAGACAGACTAAGCTTCATCTACATAGCTAGCTCATTCATCCATATATCCACAGCCATTCATCAGATGTGTGGAAGATACCAGGCAGGCAGACATCAATAATGTAGTCTCCAACCTGGAAGATCTCACAGCTTAACTGGGGAGCCAGTACATGACAAGTCTGGACAACACACTATGGCCAGTGATGTGACTGAACTCACAACAGGAAGTGGTCCTCTGCCCAGGAGACAAGGCCATGTGAACATGAGACCTTTATAAATTGCCTAGGTTTGTTACCAGCTGCTTCTTGTAGTGATTTTTGCTAAACAACCCTTGCAACAAAGACTTGTTTTTAACAAAAGGGGCAGGAGGGAGGCAGGAATGTTTTCTTACTGTGCAACCAATCAGGTAGACAAGAACCCAAAAATGGTGAGCGGATGGAACTGATGAAGAAAGAGAAGATCATCTCTGGGATCTACAGAAGAAAGAAATAGACACATAAAATTTTAGAATTACTCATTCAAGAGCACTTCCTCAAGGTTCTACTATAGCCAGGCACATGAAAACAAGGTGAGTGAAAAGGCCCCTTACCAACAGCTGACCTGAAGTGTGTCCACCTCAGCATCTGTCTCCCCTATTTTATTAGCTTCATGAAGCCAAGAAACATAGCTTCTTCATCTTTGTGTCAAATGCCTATTAAGTGAACAGGAAGTGCAAATAAATATCCTTACCTTAAGTCTGTCAACACAAGGAAACAAAGACCTAGAGTATTCGCTTCATAGCATTGTAAAGATGAAACAAGGTCAGCAAATTTAAACATTAAGTGAAAATCAACAAGAAGAATTTTAACATAAATAAATGCAAAAATCCCAAATGGGTACTACTGAAACAATAATATTAATACAGGATTCACAATGGAAAAAACTCATTCATTCAACATTTATTGAGTGCCATCTCTATTCTAGTCACTATCTAAGGTGCTGGATAAATAGTGGACAAAATACAATGTCGATGATGTCATAGAACCTCAATTTAATTAGGAAGATCTAAGAGTTTTGACTAATCACAAGCTTAGCATGAGTCATCAAGTAATATGGCAACAAGAGCAGAAAAACAAATCCTAACCTGATCTTATCTGCATCAGGAGAGATTCATTTAGGGGCCACATCAGAATGTGCCTCGACTTGCCCTATGTAGTTGAGCTGACAGTCAGTAGCTTGGACCTAACACTGGCCTCAGATTGAGGGGACTTTGACAAACTGAGTAGTATGTTTAGAAGAGTATGGTCAAACCTACAAGAGGCATGAAAAGTGATTAAGGAATAGCCAGTGTTTAGCCTGGAGGATCAATGGTAAGAGGAGATGGACAGCATCTTCCAGGATGGAAAGAGCTGTCTGTTCAAGATGTGACCCCATGGGTCTGGAGTTCACCTGGTGAAAAGCACAGGGAGCCAGAAGAGTTTCTCACAAGGAGGCTGATTGCAAAGTTGTTGGGAGGCCTTCTTCCCTAGGAAAGAGAGAGCTCAACCTAGGGAATGGTGCGAAGAAAATTGTGCTGCCTGAGATGACTAGAGTATCAAGAGATGGACTGGGCTTTGGAGTCCATTAACTGCCAACCTCTGGCTCCCTTCCTCCTTGGAGACGCCCATCTGACAACAGAAGTAAAAATCAATCCTGAAAACTAATCTGAAGAGAAATAAATCATGCCAGATCTAGTTAATTTCCTCCTGTGGCAGAGAGACCAACTCTGGTGACAGAGGATGCAATGGCTATCAGATACTGTAACTTCAGCTAAGTCTTAAGTTTCAGTCAAATCTAAAAGCTTAATTGATTTCTGCTGGCTAGAGGAGACAATCTCCAAAACCAGGGTTCGAGGCTAAGGAACACTTTTGCAGCAAGAAGAGGGGGCAAGAAAAGCTTTATTTTGTAGAACTGGCAGGAAAACTTGCCCCCATCCACCTATAGTAAAATGCAGAATTCATTCTATATTTACTGTACACCTGCCATAGGACACGTCCACAATCTGAATTGGGTATGAGAAACTAAAGTGAGATTTAGAAGCGGGTATGTTTAAATGGGACTTTTCAGTAGACCCAGTTGTGAAGTTGGGGTTTAGGGGTGTGCCATGGATTCTATGGGATGGGTTGGATGTTATAGTAGAGTGGGATGAAATTGGGGGACAGAAAGGCACTTGGGAGAATCCAAGTTAAACCAGTTCAAGTGGGAAAATTTCAAAAGCAAGGACTACCAGGAAGGGAGGAGGAGAAACCTAGGAAGAGGCGATAGGGTGGAAAGGCAGCTTTAGATACAACGCCTGCTCATTCAGAAAACCTTCGTGAAACCCCAATCTTGTGTCACAGACTAAATGTGAAAAACACAAAGAAAATTAGGCCTACTTCTTGTCCTTAATCTCCTGAGCTGGCCAGGGGATTTGACACTCAAGGAAAGTGATTTTCAGTTGGACACTCAAGGAAAGTGACCAGGGGCCCAGAAAGGAAAGATTCTTGAGGACTGGCTGAGGGACCTGGGAGTAAGGAACTGGAGAAATGCCCAGGCTGGAACAATTCACCTGAGCATCCATTTGCCTGGATAGATGACCTCTAGAGACCCTCCCCTGCTTTAGATCCCAGTACAAAGGATGTTTGGTTGATTTGACAATCTGGACTCTTCTGAATCCAAATCTTCCCATTTGTTCCCCTTTCATCTGAAAAGGATTGCTATAAACAGGGGAAATGGCATCTGGCCTCTTACCACAACACAGACGCTGTAGGCCATTAGGTGGTCCAGAGCAGCCTGGGATTGAATTCATGGATAAAGAGCTGGCAGGGAGTGAGTACCAGTGAGGCTGCTGGGAAGAGGAAAAGAATAAAGACTCCTGGCTAATTGCCCAGGGTGGTGGAAATCCAGGAGATCTGGCTTTTTGGGTAACTCACTGTAACTAAAGATGACCAGTTTCCAGGTTGCAAAGCCCCAGGGACCAAGCCACTCCTCTAAAGGCCCCAGAGAACACCAATGCACACAAAGAATGTCTTGGTTCCATCCTACTCTTCAGAAATGTCCCTCTACTCTGAGACTGACAGAAATTTCTAGGGGACTGAAGTGATGCTGTCCATAGAGTGCCTTGCCAATGTTAAGGTGCTGTCCTGGGGCTGTTGCTAAGCACTTCCTCCAAATGATGCTGGTCTTCAGGATCACCTGCCTGGCAAGAGTGTCCCATGTTTGGCAAAATTCCATGAATGAGAGTGCCTGTCCCAGGATCTACCTGTTGCAGGACCAGATCTCATGATGGATGGGATGTCAGTCAGTAATAAATAAATAAATGTTGGAAAAGACTTAAGGAATATAAATGTATGTATTTGGCCAGTCCATAACAACTTGCACATACACACACACACACACACACACACACACACACACACACACACACACTCCACATATTCCCAGTCACCAAGGCAACCATTTCAGAAGTTATACTTTCTTCTTTTTCATGCTGGATCTTTCAACCATATTTCCTTGCAGCCCTGGCCTTGAAATCTCTGTGGAGATGTTCCACACTTTGCTGGGAAATGGCATTCCATTTAAGATTTACAAGTCCCATTAGAGGCTTGTGTCGTATCCTAATCCTGACATTGGATTCAACCAATACATCATTTAGTAACTTGCTGAAAACATCGGCAACATAAAAAAATAAGCATTACGATTGCCACTGTGAGTCAGAGAATTTATAGAGATAAACCCAGTGTTATGACAGCTTTCAAGACAAGCTACAAAGTTTTAGTGAAAAAGGAGAAAGGCCAGGCATGTGCCTGTGGTCATAGCTTCTTGGGGGTCTGAGAAAGGAAAATGGTGTGAACCTAGGAGTTTGTAAGCAACATAGCCAGACCTTGTGTCATTTAAAAAAAAAAAAAGATAAAAGATGGAGAGTCTTCCTCTCAAAATTAAAGTGGCAGTGTGGCAGCTCTTGTTTTTAGGATTATTAGTAATTCACATTTCTCTCTTCCTCCTTGTAACATACATTGTTTCAAGTAACCTGATTTTCTATTGTAGATTTTATTATTCAAAACCACCAGCATACACAGATCAGGAAACAGTTAAAACTTTTTTAATCCAAATACTGATCTGGCTTTTGACAGTATTTATATAATAGGCAGTGAGGTTTTTGCCCTTTTAATGTCACCCACACATGTATGGTTAAAGGTCAGTCTGTGACAACAGTTTTCACTTCCACACTACTATAATTACTAGTGTCTACTTTAAAAAAAAAAATCATGATTTGTAAGTGGACCAGAAAGTTCTTTTTCTTTGCATATACTTCTAGCAGATTTCTGCTGGTTGGGGAAGATCTAGGTAACGAGTATTTAATTTATAATCAAAACCTTTTCTGCCCTGCTTCATATAAGACACAGTGGGGTAGGGAGCGAAGTCCTCTATGAAATAACTGCTTGAAAAGTAAGCCCAAATGTGGAACTAAGATGGGCAGGAATGCATGGATTTTGCCCTGAACTGAGATTCTGGGTTTTGAAGCCCATGAGGGGCTGGTTCCCAACGGAAAGGGAAGACTCCACCCAGGCAATCCGGGTCTGGCGCCTTTTCTATCAATCAAGGGAGAGAAGGGCCAGGTGGCCAAGCGGATGGAAAAGTCACCTGTCTGGGTCCGCAGGTGGCCAGAAAGGAAGCTGGACCAAAGCAGAATGAAGGTGAACCTGATCCGACAGAGGACAAGGCGGGTGTGTGGGTGGGCTGGGCTGTCCTCCCACCCATCCATCCCCCTCCCCAGCCAATGCGCATAACGGACGGTGGCAAATTCGTGTTGGGGGATTAGCTCGACCCTCTGGAACCTCTGGGAGGGGCTGTCATTGTCCCGGCAATCTGGGCTTGGGTCTGCCGGCCAGTGAGCAGCAGGTCCTGCCTGTGTCGCTCCCCCCGCGCCACGTCAATCAATTCGCTGGGGTCCGGGCGCCTCTCCCCGCCCCTCTCCGGTGGCGCGGGCCTCGCGGCGCCGGGACGCGGGACTCACTCACCCGCGTGCAGGCCGCCCGCCTCGGGGCCGCTGTCCGGGCCGGCCGCGCTGGGCGGTGCGTCCGAGTCGGTGTAGGTGAGCCAGGTGGACTCGGTCTCCCGGGTCCAGCTCTCGTAGTAGCGGGGCTCGATGGCATCGGCCCGGCTCCCGCCGCAGCCCATCCTCCCTCGCCGCGGGTGCTCCCCGCCGCCGCTCGGCTCCTGATGGGGCTGCGGCTCAGCCCCGGCGGCGCAGCCAGGGCCCGCGAGGAGGCGACAGCGACATCGGCCCCCTAGCCGCCAGCCCCGCAGCAGGCGCCGAGCTCCACAGTGCCCTCCACTCCGCCTCCTCTCCTCCTAGGCCCTCCCCGTCCCCACCTCGCTCGCCTTCCCACCTCCCCTGCCTTCGTCTCAATCCCTAATCCGGTCCCAAGTCCCCTGCTCGCTGGGCCCTCCCTGAGCGCTCCTGAGCAGCAGCCAGGTGGTGGGAGGAGAGAAAGGGGTCCCTTGAGGTGCTCGACCTGGCTTGTCTAGATACTGTTCCCAGGCTTCTATCCAGCCATCCACTCATCCATCCACTCTTCTTTCTTCCTTCCTTCCTTCCTTCCTTCAACTGAATGATTTAGAAAGGGACACCCCCACCCCTAGCTTTCTGGCCACTTGTTCCAAAAGCAGTGGGGCTGTGGATAACCCCAGATAAAAGGACAGTTAGTGTGGCCACTAAGAATTAAAGAGCAATCAGAGCGAAGGTCTGTCTTTGCTGGTTTGGGGAGTAGGACACAGGGCCTATGGTTTCAGACACTTGGGCTGGACACTTGTTGCTAACAGCCCTTCCAGTTCTGCAACTTCATGACACCCTCTCTGGATGGTTTGGAAGTCATGGCAGACTTCCCTCCAAGCCCCGGTATCCTTAACATTTCCTCCTCCAACATACAGTTGACAACCTTTTTGAAAATTCCATCCACACTCAGGTCTATGTGAGTTGAGACCCACAGATCAGACTTGGGTAGGCTAATGAACTTAACTGTCCCATAGAACCTAGAACAGGTGGTCAAAGAAGGAAACCATCCTTTAAAAAAGTGCTAGGAAAGGAAAGAGTTTGAAGACTGAATTCTCAATGACCAGGTGCTGCTAGAATAGAATGTGGTGTTGAATAACTATCATATTTATTTATTCAATGCATATTTACTAAATTCCTATAAGGGCAAAGCATTGTTCAAGTATATATGATAAGTATTATATACATATATATATACAATATGATATAATGAGTATTACATGTACATCATATATAATGTATATAACCCATTGTGTGTGGTATGTAATGTTTAACACAACAAATAAGGTATATAGAATATAAGCATAGTATTCATTGTATCCTATAGAATGTACACTAGAATATATTGTCTGTAACAACTAGTATGTACAATCCAGTAGTTAGAGCATTTCCTGGCAGTAGTAAGCCCTCTATAAATATCCACTGAAGGAATGTTACATTTTTGTAGTCATTCAGTTTACCTTTGTCATTACAGTTCAAACTAAGGAGGGTCCAATTTAAGGTGGAAGTGTCAGAGGTCCCCTTGATGCATACTGACCAGTGTCCACAAGGCAGGAGAGCAGAGACTCAGGGAACCAAGACCAGGGAGGGGCTCCTCTTCATGCTGAGCCCAGAGCCTGTTCCCACCCCAGGGCCCACGCTCGTCTCCCCTGTAGGCTTTGCTTCTCCTTTTAAGCCTGCAACTTCATTTTAGCTTGTAGGGTGAGGGCTGTGCAATTACCCAGGGTGGATGGCCTCCCTAGCCCACTGGAATTTGAATGCCCTGTGGCATCTTCTTCCCTCGCTGAATATTTTGGCTTAAAAAGAACCAGATCTATCTACATGAGGCCCTGGGTTTAATCTCTAGCACCAAAAAGTAATAACAGTAATAGATAGAAAGAACAAGCTCTCTGGGAGAGCGAGTCTTCAACATCTCTAACAGAGCCTGTGTTTCCCTGAATTTGATGACAAAGTGCTCCTTTCATAACCAGCTACTTTGCAATGTCACCACCCAAAAAGCAGTCAGGACAGAAAGAGTGCCTGAGGGGGAGAAAAAATTGAAACTAGACTCTGGTAAGCAAAGGAAACGAGGTGAATGTGAGGTGAGGTGGTATAGGCAGGGGCCAGTCAGGAGTGGAAACAAACAAAGAAAGAGATTCAGGGTTTATTCTAAAAGCAATGAAAAAAGTCAGAAGGTGTTAAGCCACCTACCACCTTTTTCAGATCTGCTTTAGAAAACGGTCGCTCTGGAGCCAGGAAGAGGATGGGTGGACAGAAAGGCCAGGGTGCATTCTGGGAGCATTAGGAGGCTCCTGGAGGTAAGTGATGGAGGAGTTGAGTTTACGGAATTCCGTTACTGAGGAGGGGAACACAGGGGGTAGAAAGGTCTGGAAGAGACAGATAAAAGAGAACAGTGTTGTCTTCCCTTGTGCTCAGTTTCACTCAGTTAGCTGCAGCCAACTAAAGTCCAGAAATATATGGAAAATTCCAGAAATAACATTTTAAATCATGTGTCATTCTGAGTAGCATGATAAAATCTCACACAATTGGAGTCTGTCCAGAATATGAATCATCCGTTTATCCAACATACCCACACTGTATTTACTACCTTTTCTACCATAGTTTGGTTCTGGAACATCCCTCGAAGGCCCGTGGGTTAAGGCTTAGTCCCTAACTTGGATCATTGAGGGTGTGGCCTTGAAGGGGGTGTTGGAGCCCCTGCCCTTCCTCCTCTCTTGCACTTCCTGCTGGAGTTGAATGGCTTGCTCTACCACAGGCTTCCACCATGATGTGCTGGCTCGCCACAGGCCAGAAACAACAGAACCACTCAATCATGGACTGAAACCTCTAAAGTTATGAGCTGGAATAAATCTTTTCTCTTTATAAATTATCTCAGGTATTTGTTGCAATTAGTCACTTAGTGGCCCTCTTGATCATCAGATTGACTGTCTTAGTATCTGTGTATTATTATAATTGTTTTAGCCTGTTCTGAGCTATTGTTCTTCATCTGTTATTATGACTAAATGAAACTTCATCACGGGTATGCAGGTATAGGGAAAAACCTAGTATATAGAGAGCTGGGTACTAGCTGAGAATTCAGGCATCTTTGAATGTACCCTCCCTAGAGAGTGGGGGACTGACTGCTGCCCGGTTTCCTTGAAGTTGAAATGCCTGTGAGACGAAAAGTAAGTTAACTCAAGTAAAACACTTTGCTTAGCCGCTGGAATGTGGCAAGAGTAGCTTTATAAATACTAGCTTTCATGAGCAGATGACTCTGAGTCTGGGACTCAAGAGAGAGGTTTTAACTAGAAAAATAAATTTAAGAGGCACCAGCATAGAAAAAGTATCTGGAAAAGGGTTTCCATCCCCAAATATCCTGGCCTTTCCTGCTTTCTCTTTCTAGTGCTCAACCATCCCAACTCCTGCGTCCCTGCTTTCAGCGCCACTTCTCCTGTCCCTAGTCTTCCCCTTTCTTATGAAGAACAGTTTCTCTATCCAAGAACCTCTGTGCCAAGTTTGGTGTTCTAACCACTGCTTAACACTGTCTTCAGGTATGTCAAAGCCTGGAAGGATGAAGATGCCATCCACACTCCATCGAAAGATCCTCTGTTACCAGGCAGTGGAAAGTACTAAATAGCGACCTTTGTTTTTCTTGTCACTTATCCAAATTCAAAATAAAGTGTGTAATATATGTACCAGTTGGCAATGGGACAAGTTGACATTTTGCCAGTTAGAGATGGAAGTGGAAACTGGAGTAGACCAGTACCATGTTACTGATTCACTGCAGAGATATTTCAGTGCCCCTGTTACTCTATACTGTACCCCGTCTCAGGTGCCTCAGTTACTCTTCCAGCCCAGCCTCTCTAAGACTCTGAGAGGAAGATAGTGAAACAAGACTGGGCTAGAGCAGTGAGTGAGGAAGGAGGACTGGGGGACATGTGGTGTCATCACAGTCACAGCAGGGAGAGGCACAGTTCAATTTTGATGTTGTCTTGGAGCTGCCCAGGTGGCAACTGAAGGAAGATACCACGTAGGTAGGGAGGCAGAACTGAAGCATAGAAGAACGGTGAGAGCCCCAGGAGTAAGTGAGACCCTCAGACTAGAGAGAGAGAGAAGGAGCAGGGAAGGAGGACGTCCTACAGTCAGGGGCTGAATAGAGGGAGACAGTCATAAAATGACATGGAGGACACAGTCTAAGACCCCCAGCGGATGTTTGAAACCTCTCTTAGATATACTAAGTTTCTTCCTGTACATATACCTATGATGCAGTTTCATTTATAAATTAGTCATAGTAAGAGATCAACAGCAATAGCTATTCTGGAGGCTTAACCAGAATAGCGTGTCAAAACCCTGAGAGGGGACAGTCACAACTGAACCACACAATTCAGATTGCAGCATGGGAACTGAAAAGTGGATCATGGGGTCTAACATCAGGGAGGGCAAGTTTTAGTTAAATGGTAGGAGTGGAAGCCAAACTGCTGGGGCTTAGAGAAAGAAGAAAGGCAAGGAATTAGTAGAGTACCAGCAGGTGGGAAAAAGCCAAGGAAGATCAAGTGTTTTTGTTTTTCTTTTGATAAAACTGGAACATGCTTAGAGCTGAAGGAGTGAGAATACTGGTGGGTAGGAGAGAGAATTCCATAGGAGTGCACTGGAACCTCCGCCTGCACTATCACAATAGGATCGAGGCAGAAGGGCTAGGAGGTAAGGGGGAGGTTTCCAGATTTAGTCCTACACACTGAGGGTGCTCCTAGGGGTGGGTTTGTTTTCTCTGTGAAGTGTGGAGCAAGGTTGGCCACTGTGAGTGAAGCAAAAAGGGGTCTCAGAGACTTGAGAAACGTAGAGAAGGAGTCAATCATTTTTCTAGAGACTGGGAGACAAGGGTATGAGATTTGGCAGGGAGGTGGAGGTGCTAAAATGAGCTGAGGTTGGTGACATTATGAAGACCCTGTAGCTACCCAGATGCAAGTTCCACTGAGACAGATGAGTGAGGCTCAGCTAAGGCTGGGAGGAGGTAATGTGTAAAGATGGAAGTCAGGAAAGTGACTGCTATAGTGGCCCATGGGAGTCAGCTGGGTGGCAGGGAGCTGAAGAAAGAAAAGCACATTTTGAGACTTATGTCCTCTGGCTCCACCAAAGTCACAGAGCT